GGGGGGGGTGGCATGTGCCCTTTAGCCGCCGCCCCCCCCCCCCCCCCCCCCCAGAGTGCACGTGTGTTAGATCTGTGCACGTATAAGAGCAGCCATGTCAGCAGTCTAGACCCCCCCCCCCCCATCTGTGATGTTCACGTGGAGGACGTCTCCCTCATCAACACCGTCACGCCGCCTGTTGTTTCAACCTGGTGGTTTTTTTTTTTTTGTGAAGGAAACTCTGCAGAATTATAAATACCCCGTGTATAAATACCCCACGGTTCATGCTGTGATGCCCCACTGCACCTGGTTCTGGTTCCTGCAGGACCGTAAGCTGTCCAAGGTGGAGCGTCAGCGTTTCAAGGAGGAGGCGGAGATGTTGAAGGGTCTCCAGCATCCAAACATCGTCCGTTTCTACGACTTCTGGGAGTCGCCGCTGAAAGGGAAGAAATGCATCGTCCTGGTGACGGAGCTCATGACGTCTGGGACGCTTAAAACGTGAGCGTGCCGTACACCCCCACTTCCTGTTTGTCTGCTTGGTTTTTAATAGTGAATGAAATGTAATCCCGTCTGCAGGTACTTGAAGCGTTTCAAGGTGATGAAGCCGAAGGTTTTGCGGAGCTGGTGCCGACAGATCCTGAAAGGCCTCCACTTCCTGCACACCAGGGCTCCGCCCATCATCCACCGGGACCTCAAATGTGACAACATCTTCATTACTGGACCCACGGGTTCCGTCAAGATCGGAGATTTAGGACTGGCGACGCTCAAGGCGGCCTCCTTCGCCAAGAGCGTGATCGGTAAGAGAGGCGGCGCGAGTAAAGACGTGCTGCAGGTGAACGCTGCAGCTGGAGTCAGCGCTGCTCTCTGTCCGCAGGAACTCCTGAGTTCATGGCCCCGGAGATGTACGAGGAACACTACGACGAGGCCGTGGACGTCTACGCCTTCGGCATGTGTATGTTAGAGATGGCCACCTCGGAGTATCCCTACTCTGAGTGTCAGAACGCCGCGCAGATCTATCGCAAAGTCACAAGTGTGAGTCACGACTGTGGAGCACGACAGAAACGAGTGAAAGTCACAGACGGACGTTTGAGTCTCTGTGGACTTGATTTTGTTCTTAAGAACAGTTATGTGTGTGTCCCCCCTCTCCCCCCGCCCCCCACGGCTTTAGAACACTGGTGCTACAGGTCTAACAGTTGTCAAGGTGGAAAGAAAGAGAGGATCTGGATCTGGACTGGACTGGACTGGACTGAACTGGACTGGACTGGACTGAACTGGACTGGACTGGACGACTGGACTGGACTGGACTGGACTGTACTGGGCTGGGCTGGACTGGACTGAACTGGGCTGGACTGGGCTGGAATGGGCTGGACGGGACTGGGCTGGGCTGGGCTGGGCTGGGCTGGGCTGAACTGGGCTGGACTGGACTGAACTGAACTGGGCTGGACTGGGCTGGAATGGGCTGGACGGGACTGGGCTGGGCTGGACTGGACTGAACTGGACTGGACTGGACTGGACGGCTGGGCTGGACTGGACTGGACTGAACTGGACTGGACTGGACGACTGGACTGGACTGGACTGGACGACTGGGCTGGACTGGACTGGACGACTGGGCTGGACTGAACTGGGCTGGACTGGACTGGACGACTGGGCTGGGCTGGACTGGCTGGGGGGTGGATTTAAAGTAGATTTAGTTTATGATCTGATGTGCAGTATTGATCAGTGCAGTTTGACTGTGGGGCAGCTGTTAAAGAGCCGGGGCTTTTATGTTCACATTAGTGCAGCTGTCTGTGGACACTGGTCTGTTGTTGTATTTGTTACTGTGTCTGTGTCAGAGTGGTCTGTAGAGACCACTGCAGGATATTAATAGGAGATTGATCTGACACAGTACTGCAGAGTACTGCAGAGTAGACTCTGGTGGGTCACAGATGTGGTTGACTTGTTCTGCTCTTCCTCTGCTCTTCCTCAGGGAGTCAAACCCGCCAGCTTCAACAAGGTCATGGACCCAGAAATCAAGGAGGTGATTGGAGAATGTATCTGTCAGAAGAAGGAGGAGCGGTACGTGAAGGGCCACGCCCCTCATATTGAGCCATTTGTCCTGATCAAGTACACCGTTTGCCTTACTGCCCCTCTCTTTCTGCCCTGCTGTCAGTCCCCCCCCCCGCCTAAGACTTTTGCACAGCAGCTCAGACCTCTGACCTCCGCTCTTCTTCTTCTTCTTCTTCTTCTTCTTCTTCTTCTTCTTCTTCTTCTTCTTCTTCTTCTGGTACACAATCAAGGACCTGTTGAACCACGTTTTCTTTGTGGAGGACACGGGTGTGAGGGTGGAGCTGGCAGAGGAGGATGATGGGAAGAAGGCCTCCATAGCCCTCAAGCTGTGGGTGGAGGACCACAGGAAGTTGAAGGGAAAGTACAAGGAGAGTGGAGCCATCGAGTTCACCTTTGACCTGGAGAGGGAGGTCCCTGAGGTCATAGCCCAGGAAATGGTGAGTGGGCGTCTGTGGTCGTCTGTGGGCGTCTGTGGGCGTCTGTGGGCGTCTGTGGGCGTCTCCTACAGTTTAGGTCACGTGACGAGGAGCAGAAATCTGGGCCGGAGGTTGGTACTGTTGGTACTGTTGGTACTGTTGGTACTGTTGGTACTCCAGGTATCCACCCGTCACAGAGAGACTCGGCGACACATCAGATTCAACCGTGCTGATTGGACACATTTCTATTGCTCTGCCTGTACCTCATGTCACCAGTTGGCTGCGCTGCTGCACTGACTGGACGCTGATTCCTGTGTGTTTTGTTCTGTTCTCTGTTCAGACGTGACGTGTGTCAGTTGTTTTGATGTGCTAACGCAGCTAATGCAGCTAACACAGCTAAAGTAGCTAACGCAGCTAAGGTAGCTAAGGTAGCTAACGCAGCTCCCCACTTGTCTGACCCCGTCCTCCACCTGCTGAAGTTTCCCAGAGTTCACGGCTGCTCCTCCTCTGTGTCAGGTGGAGTCCGGCTTCTTCCACGACAGCGACGTTAAGACCGTGGGGAAGTCGATTCGAGACCGCGTGGCTCTGATCAAATGGAGGAGGGAGAGAACCGCGTCTGCTACGGCCGCAGTGGACGGAGAACCCAGAACCCAGGTGACGGCGTGTCAGGGAGTCACTGCGGCTTCGACTCACGTCGGACGACCGCCGTTACCGGAGCCGGACGAGACGGACGCAGACCAGAACAACAAGCCGGGTCAGCTGCCGACCAGTTCCACGTCGGTGACATGTAGGAGGAACTCGTGGTCTTCTCTGTGAGGAACACCTCCGAGGAGAACAGGACGTCTAACCAGGTCTTTGTTTCACCGTCTCTGCAGCGAACGGCACGACGGACAGTGGCGTGGGCTCCACGGTCTACTCCGACTCCCACAGCAGCCAACACAGCTTCCTCTGCCAGACTCTACTGGAGCCCATCACAGCGGCCAATCAGCAGGTGGGTACCAGGACGAAGAGACACCGCTGTCCTCAGTCTCTCAGTCTGTGGTCTTCCCCCGGGGGGAGGGGGGTCAGGGGGGGGGTGTATATTTGTTGATGACACGTCTGTATTTCCATGTGTTGGTTTGTGTGGAGTAACGCCTCTCGTCCTTGTGGATTGTTCCTCAATCAGTGCCAGAACAGGAACCGTTTCCTGACACATCGACCTGGTTCACAGGGCGACCAGTGGGGGGCGACCTCCGGTCCAGAGGTCAGGATTTCATGCAGGGCAGCGGCACGAAGAGGAAGTGCCCCTGTTGTCCACATGTGCACGGGAAACCACGCCACAAACCACTCCCACAGGTCCAGAAGCCCCTCCCTCTCAGTGTTAAAGTACCGGTCGGTTCTGTGTCCCTCTGAGTCTGGGTCAGAGGCCGAGGACGGTCTGCACCCGCAGACCTCCTCTGTCGTCCGGCACCACCCCCCCGCTGACACCAGCGTCGGCCCACCTTCAGGCACCGCGGAGAACTCCAGTCTAGCTGCGGCCAGAAGACGCAGACACTCGGACCTGGTCGGTCTCCTGCGAGTCCAGAACCAGAACCAGAACCAGAACTCTGTGAGGACCAGGTCCCACTGGTGCCAGGCCTGTGTCTCTCTGATCCTCCTGAGGAACCAGGAAGGCGTGCGTCGATACCCGTCTTTTGTGGCTGCAGCCCGCACCTGTCCGTGTGACTTCAGACACCTGTCCTCAGTGGGGGCCGCGCCCCCCCCCGCCCAGAGACGTAACTGCTCTGACTTTTCACTGCTGCAGAAATCTCTGTTTAACATAACAGGTGGTAAAGTGGCCCCCCTCCACACACCCCCCCTCCCAGCCTCCTTGTCGCCCCCCTCCACCGAAGACCACCCCAGTGGTGACGGCTCAGGTGACGACCCCCGACCCCCCCAGGACAGCCACAGTACGTTGTCTGAGGCGGCGTCACTGGTAGGTGGCAGCAGAGTTACCGCCGTCTTCATCAAACTCCTGTCTCCTGCCCTGCCCCCTGCTGGCTGCCTGGGCTCCAGGTGTTGAGCGTCTTTGACAGACTCTGTTCAGATTAACCCTAATCTGCCCCCTGCTGGCTAATCCTCTCCTTCTCAGCTCTGACTGAAGAAGCGGTGACTGACCCCCCCTGTCCCCTCCCCCATCTGCTTTTCCTTTCTCGTTCTTCTTTTGTCTCACATCTGTCCACACTGGTCCACTGTGTGAGACAGATGTTCTGTCGGTTCCCTCCTCTGGTTACACCTGCTGTTTTTCTGGTTCTTGTTTCTTGTCCTTACCCTCCCTTCCTTCTTCCTCTCGTTCTCCAGGGCGGTTCTGCCGGACCTCAGATCAAACAGCCAATCACGGACCTGCCTTGTTCTGTCACGGCTGTCAACGCTCCGCTGAAGTACCTGCAGTCCGGGGACAGTTTTGTTGCTGGTCCATACGCAGGTCCAGCGGCCCTGGGGTACCAGCAGCACCAGACCCAGTTTACAGTACCAGGCCAGCAGACCTGCCAGAACTTTGTGGCTCCGGCTCTGGTTCCAGACAAGACTGCAGCAGCACCGACCTCCACCCCCGGCCCGCTGCAGCACCTCCAGGACCTCCACAGTCAGACTGGAGGACCAGCAGCAGCCAATCAGAGTTACACAGCTGGGCCCGCCGCCTCCCAGAACCAGCACCAGTCTGCACGGTCTGTCACCGCTCCACAGAGCTACGTAGGATCTACCCAGAACCACCCGGCCTCTACACAGCAAAGCCAAGCTCCACAGCTCCCCCTACAGGTCAGAGTTACTGTCAGTGCACAGTGTTTGTTGTGTGTTCTAAATCAGTGGTCCCCAAACCCCGGGCCGCGGACCAGCACCGGGCTGTGGGCCAGTTGGTACCGGTTGGTTACCTACATCCACTACCTTCTTAAACGGTTCTGCTCCGGCCGCTAACACGTAATACGGTACCGCTAAGTTGAAACGCCCGAGCTAGCCAGATGAACAGGAGGACGCTAACAAATGTTAGCTTGTTAGAAGTCGTATCGTTTTATCTGCCACACCTTAGTCTGTGGTTTAAATCCTCTTTATCCTGAGGAGGTCAGAGGTCAGAGGTCAGAGGTGTTACTGACCAACTCTAACCCTCCGACAGGGTCAGACCCCGGGTCAGCCGACCTCCAGTGTTCACCAGCAGACGTCGTCTTCTACACCGCACCGTCATCAACCTCAGGTACTGTTGGTGCGCCCCCACCTGGTTGATCCTTGAACCTGAGTTTAGTTCCATCTTTACTTGACTGTGACTGTGGTTCTCCTCTGTGGTTCTCCCCTGTGGTTCTCC